TCCTCTTTAAAAATACCATTGTGGGAATTGATGTTTGTGAAAAGTGTCCGGCTGACAAATATGGAAGCTAGTGGCCTCTATTAACACAGGTATAGCACAAACAGCTCACACTAAGGATGAAAGGGTAGATCAGTCTCTAGGCCCATTCAGTACTTGGCATCTCTGCTGAATCTTTTAAGCAAGGAGAGCCAGGTACAGTAACTCCTCTCTTAACGTTGTAGTTACGGTATGTTCCTGAAAAATGCTATTTTATGCGAAACGATCTTAAACGAATCCAATTTCCCCATAAGAATTAATGTAAATGGAGGGGTTAAGTTCCAGGGAAATGTATATGTATATACAAATGTATATATATATACATATATGCGTCTCTCTCTCTCTCTCTCTCTCTCACACACACACACCCTGTGTGTGTGTGTGTGTGTGTGTGTGTGTGTGTGTGTGTGTGTGAGAGAGAGAGAGAGAGAGATGCGCATATATGTATATATATATACATTTGTATATATATATTTACACATTTCCCTGGAACTTAACCCCTCCATTTACATTAATTCTTATGGGGAAATTGGATTCGTTTAAGATCGTTTCGCATAAAATAGCATTTTTCAGGAACATACCGTAACTACAACGTTAAGAGAGGAGTTACTGTACCTGGCTCTCCTTGCTTAAAAGATTCAGCAGAGATGCCAAGTACTGAATGGGCCTAGAGACTGATCTACCCTTTCATCCTTAGTGTGAGCTGTTTGTGCTATACCTGTGTTAATAGAGGCCACTAGCTTCCATATTTGTCAGCCGGACACTTTTCACAAACATCAATTCCCACAATGGTATTTTTAAAGAGGAAATTTGTGCATGTGTGAGTACATTCCATCCAGTAGGTAATGGTACACATACACAAGCATAGACCCACACCCTAAATAGAAATCCTTTAGAATAGTCTGTCCATTAAAACCACAATGTGCATTTAACAGGTCATGAAAAAGTAGAGCAGTCTGTGTATTTAACTGGTACCATAATTGGCAAGTTAATACCCCTTATTAGAATATGGATGTATATGGAGTTGGGGGTGGGGGGAATACAAAAGAGCATTTCCTGATCCCCCATCAGTAGAGTGCTTTTCAGATTATTGCGGAATTGTTTGTTTGTTAATTGTATGATAGACAATGCTATGTTGCACTTAAATAGCACCTTTCATTCACAGATCTCAAAGTGCTCAAGCACTAATTAATTTTTGCAACATCCCCATAAAGTATGTAAGTGTTATATCCATTTTTCAGAATGGGAAATGAGACAGCAAGTTTAAGGCAAAATTTTTTGAACGTGGTGCAGACTTGTCAGGTACATAAATCCGTATTTAGTAGAAGTGGTCTTTTCTGCAGAAAATTTTGGCTGAGAACCAAACATTGTGATTCAGAAATGCCCCCACAATTCCTAATGGGAATTGTAGTTTGAAAACCAAAAGCTGTTCGGTTTCCAGGTGTTTGATATCTTGATGAAAAGTGTAAAGGTAAATTTTCTGTGGAAAGCAGCACTTTTTGCAGAAAAAAATGTTTAATTCAAAACCCAATTTTCTGTCAAAACATGATTTTGATGAACATTTTGTGACCAGCCCTAATATTTAGACATCTAAACAGGCCTACTCTCAGAGGTTCAGAGAACACACAACTCATGGAAATTGCAGAAAAAATAGGACATTTTTATTTCCGTGCCTAACTTTAGGTAGCCAAGAGTGTTGGGGTTTTGTTTTGTTTTTTGTTTTTGCTTTTTGTATTTATAATTTTGTTTACATTTTCCAAAAACAACAAATATACCAAAATACCAGATTCATCACAATACACAAAGGAAGTAAAGAGGGTTAGGTGAAAGGGCTGGGAGGGGAAGTGACATGTCTCTCTTCAGGGTCTACATTAATCATAGATGTCTAAAAAAAAGTCATCCCAAATCGCTCTATATTTTTGGGCATACCCCTTCTGCAGAATGCCAGTCATTTGTTAGCCGTGTGATCAGCCATATCAGTGAGCCAGGCATCAGTGTTTGGTGGGAATCAACTTTTCCATGTTCACAGGATTAATTTTTTAGCACCCAAAGCTGCACATTGGAACCACGCTGCCTTGTTACCAGGTACTCTCCAGGCAGCAGGAATATATCCAAGAACAAAACATAAGGGGGAGGGCTCCAATTTAACATCCACTATCAAATTGGTCCTTTGACTCACCTCAGATTAGAAATTCTTGATACAGGGCATTCCCAAAATATGTGAGTTAATGTAGCACCAAGGGAGTTTCCAACAGCAGTCAGCATTTATGATGCCCATTACAATTAGCCTATGTGAGGCCAGTATATTAAAAAAAAGTGTCTTTTGGTGAATAAGCCATAGTCTCAGGTCTATAGTTGATTTTTTAGCATTAAATACAATTGTATTCCATTGGGTTGGGATAGCTGTGTATCCAAATCTCTATTCCAAAGCATCCAGGTTTGAACATTTGGGCTGAAACAGTGTCCAAGTTACTAACAACCCCCTGGAATCGACGCGTACTGAAACCACAGCGGCTGTAATAATACTGAGCCCAAGCCTATGAGGTGCTGAACACCTCCTGTGATTTGCTGAGCATCCTCTTCTCACATTAACTTCAGTGGTAGTTGATGGGTGACACTGACACTCTGTGCAGTGGTCCCAATGCAGCTGTACTCCTTCCCCTGCTTTTAAATTCCGAGACATCCAGGGACATGGTGTTGGCCATGATGCTTATACAATAGCCTTGCAGATCTCTCCATGCAGCAGCATGTGATGTCATGTCATACTCAGTGGTGTGTAGTGGGCTCAGGTAGAGTGAAGGGAGAAAGCAGGATTTATATGTGGAGTTCTGTGATGGCTCTGTGAGCTGGAGCCGCACTGGGAGGCTCTACATGAGGAAGAGTCTCCAGAAGCATTGTGCCTGTGCAGTGGAAGAGCAAGCGAGGGAGCACGGTTAGTGGAGGCAGGTACTACACTTCTTCTGCAGATCTAACCTGTATGTCTGTCGGGACTGCAGTGCGGCCATGGGCTGGTGAGGCCATGGCCATATGGCCACGCCAACGCTGGGGCTGAGAGCACTGCAGTCAGCACTGGCCAGTTACCCTGCCAGCTGTCCCAGAGCACTAGTCACCAAATTACAGCTGCCTTCTGTCCAACTGCACCGGGGAAAGCATGACTGCATCTTTTCCCTCCTCCCCGGTGCACCCACACATCATAAATTAGCCTCTACTATACATACAGCATGTTAAAAACATACCAAAATGTCGCATGTGGGATGAGAGTACATTCAGTAAGATTTAAAGGTTCTTGGTTTTTTAAATGGTGTTTAAAATTTCCAAAAATATTCACAACCTAGGATGAGGTGCAGCACTATGGGGGATCTAGATTATTACAGGTTGTTTTGCTTCTCTCACACGCACTCTCACTCTCTCATCTGTTTACTGGAGCCAATCAAGGGACTCCTTACAGGAAAGAAAGGTGCTGGCAGGTCTGGGAATAGCACTAGCACAAGCTTAAGCTACACATGCTCCTCATAAGAAAGTGAGCTGTGATCTCTAGCGTTTAGAAAAGGACAGATGTTTAAAGGGATGCAGTGGAAAGCTGGCTGTAGTTACATAGAGGCAGCAAAGCAGAAAGAATGGAGTTCAGATTCATAGACTATAAGGCCAGAAGGGACTATTGTGATCATCTGGTCTGAGCTAACTAACGCAGCTAATACAACTTCCCTGAATTAATTCCAGCTTCGAGTCCAGTGGCTGTGCTTGAACTAAAGCATATTTTTTAGAAAAACATCCAGTCATGAAGATACTTAGCACCGGTTTATAAAATTCATCTTGTAGTTTAAATTTTCCCTATCAAAACTTTCAGGCTCAGCTGTGCAAAAACAAATCATTGAAATAGTTTGATTTAGCTTCTGTGATCGATTAGGAAGAGTGTTCTGTCCCGTCATAGATATACAAGATCCAAGGCTATCAAAGAACTATAACAGCAATGCAGGAGTGACGTAATATTTAAATGTTAGAGAATAAAGAGATTAGGGGATAACTCAACTTAAAGGTAGGAAAGGGATATATTTCAAGGCACTAAGTCCAAGACTTTCACATATGGGTGCCTCAAGTTAAGGTCCTCAATCCATATTTAGGAATTTAAATAAAGCAATTTGTGAGAGTGCAGAGCACTCACAAATCCCACTAAACTCAGTGGGAACTGCTGAGTGTCAGCATCTGTGAAAAATCCAACCACTTTTATTTAGGTGCCTTGATACTAAGCTTTAGTCACCCAGGTTTAGAAATTTTGGTCTGAGTCATCTTATTTCTATCTTTAAAAAATGCATGGGCCAAAGGTTTCCCCAAAGAAAACTTTGTTTAATTCGGTGTCTTTATTAGACATTTGAGTCCTATGATTATGTCCAGTTATATGGAGACAGAATCAGAATCTGAGTAAGATACAGGAAGGAACTGAACACATCAGGATTTATAGTAGAGGTGGCTGCAAGCTACATTGTTTGGCTCCAATCTTCCAGGATTATGGCTCAAACCCACCACTAGTTCACACAGCCTAAGCCTAAATCCTACCGCCTTTGCTGTTTAACTACCTCTTTTTAAGCAAACCAGCATCTGTTAGCAGCAGTAATAAATGTGAGTATAAAGCACTACTGGCAGCATTCTTACTCCAGCCTGACAAGTTGAAATGAGCTGGAACTGTTGGCTGTGCACCCCTTGTGCTAGTTTGTTTTCCAGTGTTACTCACACCTAACAAGCTGTGGGTGTTATTATCTTTCTAGGTTTCAACACAGCCAGTTCCACAGGAGCCCAGTAGAAAAGATTATGAACCGTATCAGCCATTTCAAAATTCGACAAGAAACTATGATGAGTCCTTCTTTGAGGATCAAGTGCATCATCGCCCACCTGCAAGCGAATACAACATGCATCTGGGACTAAAATCAACTGGCAACTACGTCGACTTCTATTCAGCTGCTCGTCCCTATAGTGAACTTAACTATGAAACAAGCCACTATCCAGCTTCTCCAGATTCCTGGGTTTGAGGCTTGGGCAAGACACAAAAGCTCCAGGAACTGTGCATGTGCATGCATACCACAAGACATTTTTTTCCTGCAGATTTAGTTTGTTAAAGCCTGTTCCATAGGAAGGCCCTGATAATCAGTATGGAAAATTTAAGATATTTTAGAAGGCTAAAAGAAATGAAAGTTAAACACGGAAGTCATTAGAAAGATATATATATATATATATTACAGTGTGGGACAACTTTACTGTTGGCCTATAGAGTTTAAAACAATGGTGCTGTACATTGAATGTGGCTGAAGGAAGGAGGGTGAATATGACAGTGGATGTGGGTCAAGAGTTAA